CTGAAACCCAGTCAGCCTTTGTTGGTGGGAGACAGATATCAGACAACATAATGATAGCCCGGGAATTATTCCACGTCTTAAGAACAAAACCAAGTGGGCGCAATAAGAGGATGGCCACAGAAGTGAGTAAGGCATATGATCGTATGGAGTGGTCTTTCATTGAAGCCACCATGAGGAAGATGGGTTTCTCAGAAGTTTGGATTACCTGGATTATGCGATGTGTAACAACAGTAAAATACAAGGTACTTATGAATGGACAGCCAAGAGGGAATATTGTCCCGGAGAGAGGTCTACGTCAGGGAGATCCTTTGTCCCCTTTCATTTTTATTCTATGCATGGAAGCGCTCGTTAGCCTTCTTAATCACGCAGAGAATTAGGGAAAGATAACAGGGATGCGCATCATGCGTGCGTGTCCGTCGGTATCCCACCTACTCTTTGCCGATGATAGCCTATTATTTTGTAAGGCGGAGCCCCGTGAATGTGAAGAAGTAATGAAAGCGGTTAGGAAATATGGACAAGCCTCTGGATAATGTATTAATTTTGACAAGTCTTCTTTACTCTTTGGTAAGAGGATCGGCCAGGAGGCCAGGCAGGAGATCAAAGATACACTTGGAATCCAAAATGAAGCAGGAATGGGAACTTACCTAGGGATACCAGAGGATATTAGTGGCTTGAAATGTAAGCTGTTTGCCTTCTTAAAAGATAAACTTCGGAATTGAGTGAATGGATGGACGGGTAGGTGGCTATCTAAAGGTGGAAACGAAGTAATGATAAAGTCAATCATGTTAGCTCTCCCAACCTATGTTATGTCGTGCTTTTTGCTCCCTTTGGAGATTTGTGATGCCTTGGCTAGTGCCATTGCACAGTTTTGGTGGAGTTCGAACCCACCAAAGAGAGGCTTACACTGGACGACATGGGACAAGTTATGTCTACCTAAAGAGGAAGGAGGAATTGGCTTCAGGATGATCCATGAGTTTAACCTGGCGTTACTAGCAAAACAGTTGTGGAGATTGGCTCAAAATCCAGATTCCTTGGTAGCTCGAGTTATGAGAGGGTGGTATTACCGTCTAAGTTCGCCTTTGCGAAAGCTCACTGTCAGCAGCCCATCATATGTGTGGACAAGCATCTCGGCTGCACGGGAATTATTGCTATTGGGGGTTAGACAGAAAATTCATTCAGGCTATGAAGTAAAGGGATGGGAGGACCCATGGATTCCTACAATCCCAGCGAGACCAGCGCATGCATCATCTCTGGTTATGCATCCGAACATGAGAGTGAGTGATCTTATCAACCAAGAAACAAAGTCCTGGGATCTGGATCGGCTGGCAAATTATGTTGACGCTGCTGATGTACCTCTCATAAGGAGTATGGCTATTAGTTCAACCATCGCAGAGACACACATTGCTGGAGTTACACAAGGAGTGGACAGTACACAGTCAAGTCCGACTATTGGGTAGCTCGAAATATACTAATGAAGGAGGGAGAGAATCTAGTAGATTAACCTAGCATCAAAAGGCTCCAAGCACAGGTCTGGAAGGCTAAAGAACCCCTGAAGATGTGTCATCTTATGTGGCAGATTATATCGGGGTAGGTGGCTGTTACGAGTGCGCTGAATCATAGACACATGAGATGCGATAATTTCTGCCCACGATACGGAGAACCGGATGAAACAATTTCACATGCAATTTTCCAATGCCCACCAGCTTTACAGGTATGGGCCTTAGCATCTATACCCACCAGTTCAACTTTGTTCCCTTTGGAGAGCACGTATGCGAATATGGATTATCTATTCTGGCAGAAGAAGGCCATTTGTGGATCAGAGTTAGACAGGGATCCTTATCCTTGGTTAATATGGTACATTTGGAAGGCTCGGAATGATAAGCTGTTCAGAGGAATAGATAGAGACCCTTTGGAACTGGCCCGGTATGCAGAGAGTGAGTGTCTTGCTTGGTTTCAAGCTAATGAACAGGAAGTTGTGGTTACTCAAGAAAACGGCGATACTGAACGGCAGGCCATAAGTCTACGATATAGTTGCATGATAGATGGTTCTTGGACCTCTATAGACCAATTCTCCGGTTGTGGTTGGGATTGGAAGGATAGCATGGGAAATAGTATGTTGATGGGGATGCGTAATGTGAGTAGAGTGGAGTCGGCTTTGTATTCTGAGCTGGAAGCACTGCGGTGGGCAATGGAGAACATGCTTCAACATTCGCCATGTCAGAGCTTTGGGACGGACTGCAAGGAGTTGTTAGCAATGTTCACGGATCCTCATGGATGGCCAAGCTTTTCGACGGAACTAGAGAGGATCTCGATGCTGAGGATTTGTTTCCCAGACTTCAAGATCACTTATACTAGAGCTCTAAATGTTGTGTCCGATCATTTAGATAAGACTGCCCAATCCTTTTATCGTGATCTCATTTTGGTTATTCTATTCTGGTCAGGATTCCCAAAACATCTCAAGATTGAGTAATAGATCAGCTTTTCGTTGTAAAAAAAAAAAGTAAACAAATTAATAATTTTAATTAATTAAAAAGTAATTTATATCCAAAAAGAAAACAACATAGAACGAAATACAAGTTTCTTTTCTTATTTATTGTCTTTGTTACTGTATTTGCTTGAATTGAGGCAGTTGACTTTGTATTTAAAGAAGTTCGAGTCAAAGACGCTAATGACTCTTTTGATGTTACACAAAAGGATCATACGTACATAAGGTTTAGTAAAATCCTAAATAAACAGATGTTCTTAATCTATGCACATGTATATAAAAACCGTGTAGTCGTAGTTATTGGGAAACAACATATGAAGATGCTTTTACCAAAAAAAAACACATGAAGATGCGTCTAACTCCACCATTATAGAATCTTCTTTTCAAACTATAAATTTCTTCTACTGGTAATAACCAGAGATCAAAATGTATTAAAAGCAGAAAGTAAATAAGAGAAGCAAACAACCAGAACTGGAGATGCCTATTAGTGAGAGTGAAACTATGATAATTTGATGGTGCAAAAAATTGTGAACCCAATTTATATAGAACTGAAAAGACATAAAAGGGAACAAATACAACTTTACAACGAAAATATACATTATATTTATTGTAAACAGTTATAAACGAATAGATACAATGAATAGATGTGAGTAAAAACATAATGAAAAGACGTAACCGTATAAATTAATTGGGATTGTTGGACTTGGATCCAAAATGCCATGTATAATTTCCATTAAATGCATGTTAAATTAATTCGTTCAAATAAAATATCAAAACACTTAAAGATTTTAACTATTATATCTACAACAAATGTGAATTAAGTTTATAAGTGGATAATCGAAAATGAAGAACGATAGTTTTTAATTCTACAACGCACCCATTCATATCATGATTAACTTAAATTGAAACAATAGCCATTTATTAGTTTGAATAATAGAAAAGGAAATATAAAAAGATTTCAAAATTGTGGAATTTTGCCTATATTAGTTTGTCAAATAATTAAACACAAATGCAATAATATATATATATATATATATATATATATATATATAATAAGAAACAACAATACATGTTAGTTTGAATAATTAGTTGAACAAAACAAACAAACTATAAAATTTAGGTATTTGAGAAAGAGAAAATCCTTAGAATAGATCTAAAAAAGTTTTTGTTATCAATATAAACCTTAAAAATAAAAATGATCAAAATAGATTTAAATGCTTTATAACAAAAAAAGTAAATATACACTTAGTCCATTTGGGTTAACTAATCCTAGAGTTTTTTTTTTGTTTAGAGTTAAGAAGTGGGGTTTTGGGGTTAGGATTTCAAACTTTTTAAAATAGGAAAACTTTAAATTTTCAAAATAAAAAATGTTATTTTTGTCATTTTAATTTTTTTCAAATTTATTTTTGTGATAAAAACTTTAAAAAATCTATTTGAGAGATTTGCCACTTGAAAAATAATAGAAATAATTTAATATATATATACATAAAAAAAAGAAAACAAATAGCTTAGTTTGAGACTAAAGTCCTAGAATAATTGAGGTGGTGGGTGAATATTTTTTTGTCATCCTTGGTCCATATGAGATTTTAGTCCACAAAAAAGGGATATTTCGTCACAAAATGTTTATCGCTAATCTGTAATGGAGATCTTTTAGAAGTCCTCCACTCATGAAGTCTTGCTACCAATCCAAAAGCTTCATTGACCGATTTGGTTGGTAGCATCAAAACGTTAACTCCGATGGCGCCTTCCGCCGCTGAAGAATACGATGTGTTTCTCAGTTTCAGAGGCGTTGATGTTGGATTAATCTTGAAGAAAAAAAGGAAACTTGAGAAATAAGTTAACGATAATTCTATTGAGTTATAGAATAGAAAAGTATCTATTTGTGATTCCTAATGAATTTAGGAAATATATATATATATATATATATATATATATATATATATATATATATATATATATATATATATATATATATATATATATATATATATATATAAGGAGATGCATATGATGTTGCATAACTTATTAGATGAGAGATGAGTCTTTGTGATTGTGTGAGAACTTAAGGTTTTTGAGAGAGTTTTTCTTAAGAGAATTTGTGAGTTGAGTTCTTGAGTTTTGAGTGATTTTCTCAAGAGATTAATAAGAGAGTTATTCTTATTATTGAGTTTTTATATAAATTGAGATTCTATATTTGGTATCAGAGCCACATGTTCGATATTGAATCTCTAATAAGGCTTTCTTGTTCAAAACCTAAATTTGAACTTGAGAAAACATTACTACAAACTATGATGGTTATGACAAGGAGGAGTAATGTTGCCATTCAAGGAATCCTCTCACATCGTAAGTTTCTAAAGAAAAAGAAGAAAACAAGCGTAAGAAGAAGAAGCAGCAGCACAAGAGGGTATCTGGTGGAGATGAGATAGTAAACACTGAAAACTCCAAAGTTAATGAAGAAAGACGAAGACATGAGACATCACTCTTCAACAGTGATGATGATGGTGCTAAGAGAGACATGGGAAAGATTAAATTTGTTGATGATTGTGATCTGGGAAACACAACGCAGAAACCTAATAAGAAGAGGAATGAAAATAAGGAGAAGATACAAAAGGACGATCCAGAGGCTGACTTGAAGAAGGTTACGCACTTGATAAACAACTCTAATTGTAACTGGAAAATGCATACGATAAATCTATGGAGTAGCAGTGAATTTGAGTTTGTTTTAAAAGTTGACATAAAGGCCATGGACCCTAAGAAGAAGGATGTGATTATGAGAGATCTTGTAGCGCTTACAGACAGTGAAGAGTATTATAAAAGGACAGGGGAAGCTTGGAACATGAGTTACCTTTTGTATGAACCTTTAAGGACATGCAAGATAGCAAATATGGTGAATCTAATGAGTTATAGTAGCTATTATCTTGAGCTAACTTCGATAAGAAAAAACTGGGAACTCAGGAAGATGTTGCTAGCGATGGCTAGTAAATTCATCATTGATCTACAGGATATAGACTGTCCCTTGGACCCCACGAGAGAAAGGGAAGATAAAGGAGACCAGAGAAATAAAGAGATAAGAAGAAGAATGTAGTTACACTCTCTGGGTTATTAAATCTTATAGATGGGATTTGGTTGGCTTGCGGACAAGAGAAGAAAAAAATACAGAGAAATAGTATTAATCCTGGTGAAAGTTTATACAAAGTCAAGACAAAAGAACGCTATAGGTCTAATAGGAGACGTGCTAGAATAGTTTATACTAGAGAAAGGAAAGAAGGTGAATCCGAGTCTAAACCGAAACAAGTAGAAGAAAAAGTTGGAGACATAGTTTGTTTCAGACGAAACAGCTACTTTGCAGTTGACATCTTCAAGAAGGAGATCATGGAGTTGGGAGACAGAGTCAGGGCCGGCCCTGAGATTTTGGGGGCTGTGGCGATTCCTATGAAAAAAATTTTTTTGGGGGCCTAAAATTTTTTTTTGGGGGCCTGAGGCAAATGTTTCATTAGGCATGCCCCAGGGCCGGCCCTGGACAGAGTAGATTTAAATCTCAAGAGATTTAACAAGTTCAAAGCTATTGATGGAAGTGCTTCGTGGGATCATCACTTCATCAACTATAGGTGCTGTTACCCCTCTTGCTACCCTGTTTGTTTAATTAGTAACATTGAGAGAGAGTGGGGAAAGCTGCAGAGAGAATTAGAAAAGAAAGATGGTTCTTCCAATGGAGTCATTTTTTCTTTTATAACTTACAACGAAATAAAAGAGCTGATAAGAGGTCATCATGCAGAAGAAGTGAAACACGGGGTTGAGAAACTGAGGCACGATAATCTTGTCAAGAAGCTGGAAAAGAAACTTGTCTTTTCTCAGAAAAAACTATTGATAGCTGAACATGGTTTAGTTAAGGTGGAAGAGTGTCTACAGGTAGGAGAAAAGCTGAGAGCTCAAACTGAAATAATGAAGAAAATAGAACACTTGAGAGTGAAGAATCTTCTGGCTGATGTGAGATTCGAGCATGTTTCTTCACATGAAACATTGTTGTATTCAAGAGAGCAGATGAAAAAAGAGGAACTATTATGCAGATATGTATGCCAAGCTTGTCTTCTGATTCTTGAGTATAGTCCTCCAGTTCATGTCAGAAACACGGCACTCAACACTAATATTCATGAGAGAGAGACACAAGACGAGATTCACAAGAAAGACAGTCTGATGGAGAGGACAGAGGAGGAAGCCGCGGACGAGTGTTTTTCCTGCAACATGAGGGTTGATAGACATTGGAGCGATAAGAGATTGGAGGTGATAGGCGAAACCTTCAGAGAAGATTTTAACATCTCTTACAAAGGGTCTAGGCTTTCTCATTCGAGGAGGAGCTGGGAAGAGAGCAAGCTAACTTCTGAGTCTTTGAAAGCTGTGGAGAGAGCTGGATACAAGACGATTTCTTCTATTCAGAGCTGGATGCACGACTTAGACAACGATGGTGATGTGGTCATAGCTGTCTGTTTCAGGAGCAAGCTATTTTCATGTTCGGGGACAGATATTGAAAAGGTTGTGCCATTATGAGGGGCAAGAGATTCATATGATACAATCTATCACCCAACCACGACTTGGATTGTCAAACAAGACACCAAAAACTATTGGTAAGATAATAAGAATCAACATAGATGGGTCTATGAGTGCACATGTGACTGGTAGACATACATAGAGGTAGGTTTCACTTGAAGATGCAGAACTGCTATCAGGTTGTGAACTTGGTGACTGGGTGCATACAGAACCAGGCCTAGGAAGCAGGGCAAGCTATGTTTGGTTTAGTAAAGGAAGAGAGAGTATTGCCGTTGTTCATAGCATACAAGAAGCATGTTACTTGGATCTGGATTGTTTTTTCCGTAAAGGAAGATGGAGTACTCATTACACAGATTTAGAGAATCGAGATTGGTACAAGAGAGTTGGAAAAGAATCAGGTGAGAATATTAAGGCGTGACACTGGAGTAAAGATGGATGATGTTAGAGTGGACTTGGTTAAAAAAGTGAAGCGTTTGATGGATGAAATACATAGAGAACTTTACTTTGTGGCTAAGAGAAAGCTTGACGAAAGCATTCAAAAGGTTGAAACTTGAGATGCTTTTAAGGAAGCTCTGAGACAGAAGAAGTCTTTAGCTCCATGGTGTGATGAAGTTGAGGTGAAAAATGTTGTGTTAGAGAAGTCTTGTGCTTTCATTGGTTGAGGTTTCGAAGACTTCAAGGACTCATGGAAAGTTCAGAGATGTGGTAAGGAGTGTGCATTCGGATGATGAAGAACATGGCAAGCTTAAGAGAAAGAGAAGAACGTGGTATATACAAAAGAAAGAAACAATGGTGTTGTGCTCTTATGAACCTGACAAGGTGGCATGGACTAAAGCCTTGAGTGTGAAGATGAGTTCAAGTTTAAAGGGAGAATGTTGGATTAAGCTTGAAGAAAAAAAGGAAACTTTGAAAAATAAGTTAACAATAATTCTATTGAGTTATAGAATAGGAAAATATCTATTTGTGATTCCTAATGAGTTTAGGAAATATATATATATATATATATATATATATATATATATATATATATATATATATATATATATATATATATATATAAGGAGATGCATATGATGTGGCATAACTTATTAGATGAGAGATGAGTCTTTGTGATTGTGTGAGAGCTTAAGGTTTTCTTTAAGAGAGTTTGTGAGTTGAGTTCTTGAGTTTTGAGTGATTTTCTCAAGAGATTAATAAGAGAGTTATTCTTATTATTGAGTTTTTATATGAATTGAGATTCTATAGTTGACACACGTTATAACTTCACCAGCCATCTCGATAAAGACGAACTCCTTCGAGGGGAAAATCTCACTGAGCTTTTGGACAGAATCGTTGAATGATGAATCCAAGATTGTAATCATCATCTTTTCTGAAAACTACATGAATTCCGCGTGGTGTCTCCGAGAGCTTGTGAAGATCCTCGAGTGCAGGGACAGAAACCAACAGGTGGTGCTCCTATCTTCTACAAAGTTGACAAATCGGAGTTGAAGAAGGTCCTGAGAGAGAGTTTTACTGCGGAGGACGAGGTTTTATTGTGGGAAGCTGCACTTACCACAGCATTCAACATCTCCGGCTATGTAGTGAATGAATCTAGGTATTACTCTTCTTAAGTTACCTTATCATGCCTTTGTTGCCGTTTTTACTAAAACAAGCTTCATCTTCTTGTTTTAGTAGCTCCTCTGAGGCCACACTTGTGGATGAGATTGCTGTTGACACATTAAAGAAGCTGGATGGCTTGGCTCCCGTCGGGAACGAAGGTCTCGTGGGAGTAGAATCGAAAATAATGATTCTAGAAAAGATTTTATCTTGCCATGAGTTGGATTCTGTTCATATTATAGGCATTATTGGAATGGGTGGGATTGGTAAAACTACTCTTGCTGATTGTTTGTATAGGCGGATGCGACGGTAGCTGCTTTCTTACTAACATCCGTGAGAATTCAAGTAGAAACGGGTTAGATTCTTTGCTGCACAAACTCTTCTCTACATTACTTAGTGATAGAGATTGGAGCTCCTGCAAATGCACATGAGAGATTTAAGCGCATGCTTAAGAGCAAGAGGATTCTTATTGTGCTTGATGATTTCAATGATGAAAAGCAGATACGGTATCTTATGGGGCACTCCTGCAAATGGTATCAAGGAGGAAGTAGGATTATCATAACTACTAGAGACAGTAAGCTGATCCAAGGCCGAAAAATGTGCTCCCTAAATTGAATGATAGAGAAGCTTTTATTGATGCTCTTTAGCATGAAAGCATTTAATCAATCTTGCCCTTCCCCGGAGTTTGAGAGCTTGGCAAATTTGGTTCTGGATTATGCTAAAGGCAACCCTTTGGCTTTTAAGATAAATTGGATAAACATTACAAGTAAAATATATCTACGAAGTTCTGGAAACAAGCTATGAGGAGCTTAGCACTGAGCAGAAGAATGTTTTCCTGGATATTACATGTTTCTTCAGATCAGAGAAGGTTGATTACGTGAAAAGCCTTCTCAACACTCATGGTGTGGATGTGTCTAGCGTGATAGAAGATTTACTTGACAAATGTCTGATTACTCTTTCTGATAACCGCATCGAGATGCATGACATGATGCAGACTATGGGCAAGGAGGTTAGCTTAAATGCGGAAGCTATAGGAATAAGAGACAATAGGTACCTTTCACAACATAGCACCGTATATCAGTCGCAAATCAGACTATGGGACAGGGACGCTATTTGTGACCGTCTCACCACCGGCATGGTTAAATGGCACATCCTTGGTGATATTCTATCATACCTTCTCCTCTTGTTCTGAATTAACCACTGTTTATCTGCCACTTGAATTGTAGGGAACTGACAATATAAGAGGCATTTTCCTGGAAACATCAAAACTAGGAGCAATGCGTCTAAGTGCCAAAGCTTTCAAAGGAATGTACAATCTCAAATACCTGAAAATTTATGATTCTTGTTGTTCTCGTGGATGTGATAAGAACCTAAAACACTTTATTGATATTCTCAAACAATTGTAGCTTACAATCCTCTCACGAGCATAATTGCAATCTACAATGTTCCCTCTCTCTCACTTACAGATATCTTTTCATGCCCCAAATACAAAGTACAACTTCTTTATTTATTCTATCCTCTCCCCGCGTAACTGCAAACCCTCTTTCTCCTTTAGAGTCTTCCTCATATTTGAAACAGCAAAGCCTCTTCCTCACTTAGAGTCTTTGTCCAGCCTTTGAATATTCCCCTCCTCAACTTGTTTAACTCCCTTCCTCTTTCTCGTATAAACTCTCCAGGGCCTATCAATACCCCCCTCGGTGAGACTCAGCTTGCCCTCTAGCTGAAAACTCGGAAACTGATGACGCACATCACGAATCAGCATCCATGTACTCTCATGAGAAGGTAATCCTTGCCATGACAACAACACTTCCAAACGACCATCATCGGTATAACGAGAATCCAAAACCTGCTCCGGCACAATCACAAACTCATCTGTTGCAGACAAATCAGTTGGTAAAGGTGTAACCTTATGAGCTTTACCCAACACTGGTTTCAACTGAGAGA